GGCTGCCACCCCGTGTCAGGTAGAGGTTAGAGCGCGGGCTGGGAGGAGGAGAGGAGCCGGCAGTGTCTTCTCTCAGAGGGCAGCTGCCGTCACCTCTGTCCCTGCAGCTCTGAGCTGGGCAGATGGCTGGGAGGTGTTTGCTGTCACCTACCGCCCCCCTGACTGCCCCCTCGACTGTGCTGGGCTCCCTGACACCAGGACCGCAGTCTGTCCTTACTGCTTAGTGCTGAGCCAGCATCCAGCGTGCTCGATTGTTCATTATATTCTGAGTGAGTGACCAGCCCACTGTCTGTCTGTTGGTGTGGCCAAAGGAGTGAGTGGCTAACAGCTCCACAGAGTGACCCAACTGTCAACAAACTGCCAGATTTACATTTGAACTCTACTGTTTGAAGCCCCCAAACACAAAGACACCCAACCCACTGTTTAGTATGGAGTAACCAGTAGAGGGCGCCCGAGGACCAGACTGTGTCCGGGCCCCAGGTGAATATCTGCAAACCAGCTCACAGCTCCTGCAGCCCTGTAGTTTTGCCACACCCAGAGGCAGCTCCCTGCTGCGTCCTGGGCCTGCGTTTGGAAAAGTGCCTGCCCTGAAACAGAGCCACTGGAGGAGCACGACTCTGACCCACAGTAATAACGAGCTCCCAGCTACCTCTGTCCCATCCGGAGCTCACACTCGCGTGCACGCTTCCTTGTAGACCAAGTTCTGTCGCACGCTCCCAGGAAGGCTGCCAGCAGAACCCTGGGTTTCACAACAGCTCTGCTGCACTGAGGCGTTTTAGTCTGGCACTGGTGGTTTCTAAGCCCTCTCCTCCTGGATCGTCAGAGAGGACGCCTTCTGCCTCCAGCTGTGTCTTGGTGTTTTATTTGCATAACGGAATGGGACTTCTCTTTCTGATTTTCCTGGTAGATGCAAGGGGGCAGGACAGTGCATTGGAGGCAGGTTTGTTTGTAATTAAGGTCTAAGGTACGATCTTTAACAGGAACTTTTTAAAAAAATTTATTTAGCTTTTTTAATTTATTTATTTGTTTGTTTTAATCTGACCAGAGAGGGATAAAGTGAGACAAAAAGTAAGTTGCCAGGTCCAGGATTCAAACCGCAGTCAGCCATGTGGGGGTCCAGCACCCTTAACTACCATGCCACCTGCCAGCCCTCTTACAGGAACTTTTCTACTTCAGCCCACTTTGCAGACGCAGAAGCGGAGGCTGAGAAGGGCGGCTGCACTCCCCGGGCTATCGCACTGGGAAGCAGCCGGGCTGGGGCTGGGGCTGGGGCCTTGGTTCTTCCCTCGGACCTTCCTCCCGTTGCAGTGTGGGGGCACCGGTCGTCCTGTCCATGGTTTCCAGACCTCGAGCATTAGCTTAGGAGCTCAGCCTGTGACCCAAAGGCACGCGATGGAACTTGGTGTTTACAAGGAGCCGCGCCTGCGTGTTGAGCACCCGATGGCCCGAAGTAGCCGGGGGCTCGTGATCACTGGGTCTGAGCCGCGCTCCTCCTGTGGCCCTTCCTCAGCGTTGATTCTCTCACGCGGACCCGAAAGCTAGTGCTGAGCCACGATCGCTTTGAAGAAACCTGCTTTTAGGCCAGATAGGGTTTAAGGGACCACAGTGACCCGTGTTAGGTCAGCCCAGAGGAAGAGGCCGAGGGCTCTGTCCCCGGAGGGGCCAGTGTCTTGTCCTGACGTCTTCCACCTAGGTTCCAGTCCTACCTCACTTCTGTCACCCCGGACAAGTGGCCTAGCCTCTCAGCACCCGTCTCCTGCCACCCAGAGTTAGCCGTGAAGGTAGTTCGTCCGAATGTGGAGGGCACTTTCTGGGTGCCGGGAGGCGCGGAATGTCGGTTTACTTTCTTTCCAGTTCTTCCCCACTGCCTGCCTTCCCCTGGCCTTGATGCCAAGGCCTGTCCCTGCAGGGAGCAAAGAGGACAGACGGGTCAATGTGGTGAAGTGACAGAGCAGGAAGCACATTTTGTTTGGGCCCAGTTAGGAGAGCTAGCCGTGTGGCTGTGGGGTGGTCACTCGCCCTCTCTGTGCCCACGGCGGCGAAGTGCAGAATGTCGTGATTCAGTCTAGAAGAACCTGGCACATTTACACTGCCGGTGTCTTTTAGGAGACTTAACCCCCAGGAGAGTCTGTCAGGAGTGACTGACCGGGTAGAAGACTGTCATGGACAGGGCAGTGAGCGCTCACTCCTCCAGCCTTTCCCGCATCTTCGAAGGTTTATCGCGTTATGAAAAATGCCCAGGGAGGGTTGTGAGTCAAGGATTGTGCTTGGTGACGTCCCCTGCCCTGCGGGCCGAAGGCTCTTTCTCAAAGCATCACAGCACCAGCAGGGGGCACTCAGGGCCCAGGGCCCTCACATGGGTGTTTTCTGTGGCGTGTTGGGGACACCCAGGTCTCGAGGAGGTAGACGGGACACAGCAAGATGAGCTTCATGTCCTTGGAAACAGCTGACACGGGTGCCAGGCCAGCCTCAGAAACTAACCGGCGGGCCTCTGCCACTCTGTCGTGCTGCATTTCAGGTCTGGATGCTGACGGGGGACAAGCTGGAGACAGCTACGTGCACAGCGAAGAATGCACATCTGGTGACCAGAAACCAAGACATCCATGTTTTTCGGCTGGTAAAGTGTTCTCTGAGCAGGGGTCCTGTGGGGACAGAACTTCAGTTTATCCTGTAACCTTATAACCTCCGGGAGCCCCCAGAGAGGGGAGGAGGAAGCTTAGACCACCGTTGGCTGGGTGGGGTCACTGAGCCACCCAGGTGCAGGCTAAAGGATTCCTTCCAGTAATTATGGGGCCCCTCATTCCAGCCCCGGCTAATGCTGTGCTCTCACCCTTTTGGGGGTCACAGTCCCCTTCAAGAAGCTGGTAGGTGTTAGGTACCTCCCCAAAGAAGCAGCTCTGCTCGTACCTGTGACACTGCGGGTGTGAGTCCCAGGGTTTCACGTCAGCTCATACACGTGAAGTCGTGCGAAGGATTCTGGGATTTCCTGTCAGCTCGTACGTGTGATACTGGTGTGTGGTTCCTGGGTAGCATGGCCAGGTCCCTGGATAAGAGAGAGATTCCAGACTACCACGCCAGCCTGTTTGCCCTCCTGAAGGGACACATTAGGGCCACCAAGGAACAATGGGAAGGAGGGATGCAGGTCACAAGTTACCTGCCCCCATGGCGAGACTTGACCAAAACAAAGCATGCTTTGGGCTCCTCCCTGCAAGGGCTGTGTGGGGCACTGCTGAGTTAGGAAGGTGAGGGGCACTAGGACCCTTAGGGTAGGATGTAGCAGTCCCACTCATCTGAAACAGAGCCAGGGTGCCAGCCAGCTGGGGGGCTCTAGATGTTTCAGGCTCTCCCCCATGTCTGCCTTGGTCCGTGGCACAGTGCAGCTCTCAGAAAGCCGTGAGTTTCGGAGCGGCAGAGCTGCACAGGATCGGTTCTTGGTTATTCCGGATTCTGTACTGGGAACTCAGCCACCCCTGGGTTTACTGTGACCGCCATAATCAGTACCCGGGGCACGTCCATGGTCACGTGCACACGGCCGGACAGTGGCGACATGTCTCAGTTGTGCATGTTCTCGGCCGAGGTCCCACCAGGCGATGTTCTGTCTTGTTTCAGTTCTCATGTTGCGAGTGAGGGTCCTGTTGTAGTCTGTTTCCGTGTTCTGGTTTCGGCTTTGTGTATCTGTTTGGTGGCAGTTTTGCTGTGTGTTCACAATGGCCCCCAAGTGTGGGTCTTCAGTGCGGGCAGTTTGCTAAGCCCCGGGAGCCCGTGATTCGCCTGACAGAGAAAACCGGCAGGTGAGCTGCACTATCGGCTGTGAGTTCAGCATCGATGGATCAAGATGGCTGTCTTTTTTTTTTCCTAAAGAATTGTTTATTTGATTTTATTTATTCATTTATTATTATTATTTTAGAGAGAGACAGAGAGAAAGTGAGAAAGCAAACCACTAGGTCTGGGACTCGAACCATGGTTGGCCATGTGAGAGTGTCCAGTGCCTTAACCACCATGCCACCTGCTGGCCCCGAATCAAGATGTCTTTAAGCAGAAATGCATGTGAAACCAAGTTACTTACCAAAGTTATTTACCAGTCGTCTGACAAAAACACTGTGCCTAGAGACTTGCAGAAACCTCGCCCTGTGTGCCCTCCAGGCCGAGAGAGGCCGCTTTGGCTCAGCGTCCACACAGCTGTGTCTAGCATGCTGCCATGACCGGGAGTCAGGCCATTGCAACTGAGTTCAGGGCTGCAGCGCTGCCGGTAGGCTAGCTGCTTGTCTTTATAAATAAAGCTTTATTGGGGTGCACAGATCCCCACTCACCTTTGCATTGTTTATGGTTCCTTTTGCACTCTAATGGCAGAGTTGAGTAGTTGTGACACAGACATATGATCCCCAAAACCTATAATTGGTATTTTAAAAAAATTTTCCAGAGGGCATGTGCACTCACCAGAGAAGCAGAGGGACAGATGAAGCACCCACTGTGGGGAATGGTCACACCACAATCCCTTCTCCATTCCTCCCTCCTTTCAGGATTTCAGTCATGCATCCACACACATCTGGTGTGTTTATCAAGCCACTGGACCCAGGACTTGAACCACATGGTCATCCACATGGGATCTGGCTGCCTGAACCGCCAGGCCATGGAACCAGCCCCAATTTGCATCTTTCAAAACCTGTACTGTTTGGGACTAGCAGATAGCATGATGGTTAAGGTGCTGGACTCCCATGTGTCCGAGTGTGGTTTGAGTCCTGGGCCCAGTGACTAGAAACTCATTCTAGGCGTGTGTGCATGTGTGCCCAAAATCCCGAGAGCAGAGTGGAAGAGAAGGGATGATGATGTGGCTACCTCCTGGAGGGGTGATTTCTCACTTTCTGTCTCTTTCTCTTTGGTGAGCACATGCTCCCTATGGCAAAACCTAAAAAAAAAAAAAAAATCCCCAAACCCTACACTGTTTAACACCTGCTGTTTACGGAGAAGCCAGCCACCCCTGCTAGCTACCTGGCTTTGCGCGGCCACAGCCTGCTAGTTGCGTCTTACTTTGGTTGGTAACGGATCCCTCCCACCTTGATTTGCTTAAGACGAGGTAGACAGCCGCATCGGAAATCCGTGAGGACAGGCCACGCGAAGTGCTTGCATGTGCCCGCCCATGACCGCCGTGTGGTTGCACCTCGTCCTGGGGAGATGGCAGGCCGTGGCTAGAGGGCAGGTATCCCAGTTCCCACAGGAACTGACAGACAGGATTATCTGGGTCTGGCAGGGGGTGGCAGTGGCCCGGCTGGGGCAGCCCTTGTCATCACACCAGCTCCAGGAAGCTGCTGTTTATTTTTCTTCCATCTCTGGAGAACAAGGCATCCTCCATCTCTCTGTGCCCCTCCAGGTGACCAACCGCGGGGAGGCCCACCTTGAGCTGAACGCCTTTCGCAGGAAGCATGACTGTGCCCTGGTCATCTCTGGTGACTCCCTGGAGGTGGGTATGGGAACCCCTGTGAGCTGGGGCCTCCCAGGAGCATGGGCCTCTTCCTGCTGCGGAGGGTGGCCTCGGCGGATGGCCGTGGCTGAGCACTTCCTGTCTCTCCACTCCCACAGGTCTGCCTCAAATACTACGAGTACGAGTTCATGGAGCTGGCCTGCCAGTGCCCCGCCGTGGTCTGCTGTCGCTGCGCCCCCACCCAGAAGGCCCAGATCGTGCGCCTGCTCCAGGAACGCACCGGGAAGCTCACCTGTGCAGTAGGTGGGCAGCCCCAGTCCCGGCCCTGCCTGCTGTCTACCGGGCGGGCTCCCATCAGCGCCGTGGGGCTCGGCACCGCGTCCCCTGGCCACTCAGGCCATGCCTTCTTCGTCCCGTGGGCTTTGGCCCTCTTTTTGCTATCATTGGCAACATTTCCCTCAGAGAGAGCTGATCAGCATGGCCGAGGGCTTGTCCTTTTTTGCTAATGATGCAGGGACACGGCACTCTGGGGAGGGGACGCCGCACACCACAGAACTGGGTCTGGGTTTGAATCTCTGAGTTTTATAGCTGGGCGCCCCAGGTGGCTTCCCTCACCACCTTGGGTCGCAGTTTGCTTATTGATAAAATGACAGTAATAATTGTGGCTTCCCCAGATGGTGCTTATGAGGACTAAAAAGCGTCACATTAAAAAATGCTCGCCGCAGCGCAGTTAGTGCTCGGTGGTGCCCCGGTCACTGAGGAGGGTGTGCAGTGGTTGCAAGCACTAGGCGTGGACTCAGCCCCACTCCCGCCACTCAGGGCTGGGGGCTCGGAGCCACTTGGTCTGCCGACACCCAGTAAGTTTGCCTGTGACATAGGATCTGGTAGCGTGGGGCTGTGGAGCACGAGCGGCCATGCAGGAGAGGCGCTCAGGGAGCGCTCAGGAAAGCAGACGTGACCACGTGAGAGCGAGACGGGAGAGTCCGCTTTCCTCGCCACCCCGCTTCACTTTCCGGTCTGCTCTCTGGCCTGTGTCCCGGCAGGTGATGGGGGCAACGACGTCAGCATGATCCAGGAGTCGGACTGCGGCGTGGGCGTCGAGGGGAAGGTGAGCACATCCTCTCGGCCACAGCTGGCCTCTTTGCCTCTGCATGCTCCTCCAAAGACGCAGCTGCGATGCTGCCGGAAATCCCAGACGAGAATGCAGAGTGGAGGGGGCACGTAGCCTAGCTACCGCGCCTCACCTGCAAGCCAGAGCGCCCTAGTGCTGTATCTTTTTTTTTTTTTTGGAGAGGTTTTTGCTATAGGGTGCGTGTGCTCGCCAGACAGACAGAGAGGGACAGAGAGACAGAAAGCAAGAAATCATCCCCCAGGGGGGATGGCCACGCCACAATCCCTTCTCCTCCATTCTCCTCTTGGGATCTTGGGCATGCATGCACAGGCGCCCGGCGTGAGTTTAAGCCACCGGGTCTGGGACTTGAACTGCGGTTGACTACGTGGGAGTCCAGTGATGTAGCCATTACGCTAACTGCTGGTCCCCCTAGTGCTGTATCTTACAGACAGGTGGCAGCTTTTTGCCTGCAAAACTTTTTTTTTTTTCTTTAAAGATTTTTGCCATAGGGCTCATGTACTCTCCACAGAGAGACAGAGAGAAAGATAGTGAGAGGAAGAGTGAGAAATCACCTCTGAGGGGCTGGCCACGCTGCAATCCCTTCTCCAGTCTCCTCCTGGGGCTTGGGGCACACACGCACGCACCTGGAATGAGTTTCAAGCTGCCAAGTCCAAGACTCAAGCCATGGTCAGCCATGTGGGAGTCCAGTGCCTTAACCACTGTGCCACCTGCTGGCTCCCCAACAACTAAGCTGTTGCAAAGGCTGTTTCTGCATTCCCAGGGCACGGCGAATGCCCTTCAGTCTGAATGCTCCCAGTGGTCAGCGCTGTCCGTGAAGGCACTGGTTCTAGCTTGGGGTTGGGCATGTGTTCTCGCTGGCCCCTCACGCAAAGGCCCCGGCAGCTGCAGTGTTTGGAAGTCTGCCTGCGGTGGCTTTTCGGTCCCCTACTCCTCATCAGCGGCTTATCAGCCATGTGCCAGCCTCTTGGAGTTCACTGTGTCCTCTCTGCTGGGGTGATTTCTGAGTGACAGTAGGCGAGGAGGGGTCTGGAAAGACGGGGTCCTGGAAAGACTCTGCTGAGGGTCAGGGGCATCCCCTGTACATTTTGCTGCATATCCTTGTGAATTTAGCTCATCCGAAACTTTTTTTTTTTAATACCCTTTTTGGGGGTAACATGTGACTGACCACAGTTTGAGTCCCACACCCAGTGGCTTGAAACTCATGCTGGGCGCATGTGCATGCATACCCAAAATCCTGAGAGGAGGATGGCAGAGAAGGGATCGCGACATGGCTGGGGGATGATTTTCCACTTTCTGTCTCTCCAGTGAGTGCATGTGCCCTGTAGAAAGATCTCTCTGTCAAAAGAAAAAAAAAATCCCCTTTCTTTCCTTTCTGATTCTCTGGTTCTCAGCTGGGTGGTCATTATTTGAAGCTGCAGGTTTAACTGATTCTTGAGTGGATGTTATTTCTGAAATCTCTATAGATTTCCTGAATATAAGTTTTAAGAAACAGTGACACTGAGTGTAATATAGAATTCTTTACAAGTGTTTACAGAGAATGAAGACACTTCCCCTCCTGTTAAAATATGACATTCTGATTCCTTTGTTTTTGGGAGTGTGAAAAATATACGTGCTCACTACAAAAAATGGAAACAGTTTGGAAAGAAAGTAAACCCCTTCTGTTAGACATCTGCGTCGAGCTAGTAACAGGGTTTATTCCTCCCCAAGTATCTCTCTCTGTAAATTACTGGCTATGGGCATGTGCATATTTGACGGCTATGTCTTACACATGTATGTGTATTACTTTCATGTGTAATTTAAAATGAAAAACATACTATGTATTTTGCTCTGCAGCTCACTTAAATCTGTGACGGATTTCTTTCTACATCAGAGTGTGCGGGGCCATCACTTCTTACCCTCCCTCTTTTATTTTTAAATTTTTAATTAAAAAAAATTTTGCCATAGGATACATGCGCTTGCCAGAGAGAGACAGTGAGAGGGACAGTGAGAAATTACCCCTTGTGGGCCCGGCCATACCGCAGTCCCTTCTCCTCCATTCTCCTCCTGGGATTTTGGACATGCACACACAAGTACCTGGTGTGATTTTCAAGCTGCCAGGTCTGGGACTTGAACTGCAGTTGGCCACGTGGGAGTCTAGTGCCTGAACAACCATGCCACCTGCCGGCCCCACCCTCCCTTTGTATTTTGAAAAATGTCACCCCTTCAGAAAACCTGAACTAATCGACGAGCACCCGTCTCCCCTCCCGTTTCCCCGTTGTTGACGTCCGCCGCGCCCTCGCTCGCTCCGAGTCCGTTGGAAGTACCCTGCAGGCACGGGGTGATCTTACCCCAGGCACCTCAGCGTGGCTCACTTACGAACAAGGGCCTTCTCCTAAGTGCGGTAGCATCGGTATCGCCCCAAATGCAACGTCAGCATATTAATTCGACACAAAATTCACAGTCGAATTTCCTCAGTCATCGAAGTATTTTCCTAACGGAACAAAAGCTCCAGGAATCCATTGAGAGTCACACTTGCATTTCTTAGCATGTCTTTGTGTCTCTTTAATAGTCTTTGTCCATTTTGGCGAGGAAGGAAGGAATGTTCTGTTTTCCGTGACACTGGTGTTTCTGAAGCTTTTGGGACAGTCTCAGAGCGTCCTGCAGGCTGTCGGTCAGAGGGGCTGGACCGCGTCCGTAATGGTGTGAGAACCTGAAGGGGAACCACGCTCTTTCCTGCGTCCCATCAGAAAGCCCTGCTGTCCTTTTGTCCCACAACTGGCCTTAACCTTGTCCCTTTTGAAGCGCGAGAATTCTGTTACGTAGCTACACTCCTACAAACGTGCAGAGCTGTGTGTTCAGGAATGTTCTAGTTAGCATGTTAGTAGCATCAGGTTTTTTCCCCTCTTATGTTTACTATTTTCAAAGAGTTTTTTTTTTTTTTAAATTTGATTTTGTTCATGTGTGCTCACCAGAGAACGAGAGAGAGAGAGAGAGAGAGAGAGAGAGAGAGAGAGAGAAAGTGAGAAGTCACTCTCCTCTCCTCCCAAGATTTTGGGCACACATGCACATGCATCCAGCATAGTTTTCAGGACTCCGGGTCTGGGACTTAAACCTCGCAGCTGGCCAGTAGGGATATAGCCGCCTTCGCCACCATGCCAGGGTCTGACTTTAAGGGAACAGAATGTGTCATGTGAAACACCTATCTTTGATTCTTTGCTACTTACGAGATGGGCCAAACCCCCAAGGCTGAGTATTAGATCACTCGATCTCCAAATTAAAACTCTGTGATTCAGAATATTTTTTATTTAAAGAAATGCCTCTTTTTAAGTCAAGCCTGCACTTAGACCACCAACTGTGTCGAGCTGGAAGCCAAAGAATCGCTTACCGAAAGGCTTTGAAGATCCCCTTACCGCGTCTTGCTTTTTTCAGTGGAAAATAAACGCTTGCTTTGACCTCACGTGCTGCTGACGGTGCCTCTGGTTGGGTTGCAGGAAGGGAAGCAGGCTTCGCTGGCTGCAGACTTCTCCATCACTCAGTTTAAGCACCTCGGCCGGTTGCTCATGGTGCACGGCCGGAACAGCTACAAGCGGTCGGCTGCCCTCAGCCAGTTTGTGATCCACAGGAGCCTCTGCATCAGCACCATGCAGGTGGGTGGGCAGTGGGCTCTCCGTGGGTGCACATGGTCATGCTGTGGGGTGGGCAGCGGGCACCTCTCCATGGGTGCACATGGTCATGCTGTGGGGCGGGCAGCGGGCTCTCCGTCCTTGGTGACGCTGTGGGGCGGGCGGCCGCCTCTCCATGGGTGCACATGGTCATGCCACGGGGCGGGCAGCCAGCACCGCTGCATGGGTGCACCTCGCTATGCCTCGCAGGCGGGTGGTTGGGGGCCCTCTGCAAGGTGCACAAGGCAACATTGTGCAGGTGGGCGGGCAGGTGCTGCGGCTGTGTGGTTATCATGGAAAACCCTGGGAATTGGACTGCTTTGGTGCTGTTACCCTGAGCTGGTCAGTTTCAGGCCCCATAGGCCAGGCTGCGCAGACAGACCTTGGTCACCAAGTCTGTCTGTGCTCTGCCTGGCTCCTCTCGTGGGTGGTAATGGCTGCTCTTGCCCCGTGGCATGGATGTGAGCCTCTGCAGTGGTGCCCGCACAGGGCTTGGCAGGAAGCAGGTGGCATGTCCGTCCCAGCAGGTGCTATGAGTGGAGGTGAATTACTACTGTTGTTTCATCAGCGGGAAAGACGCAGTTAAACGCCAAATGTATGCATGCCCTGATGTTCCACACACAGGCAGGAGCCAGCAAAGAGCAGCCACGGGACAAGGGCAGCTTCCTTCTCCAAACCCTGACGTCCATCCCAGTGTCTGTCAGGCAGCGTCTCAGTCCTCGTGCAGCCCGAGTCCCCCTCATAGGTGGACTCTGAGGCCAAGTGGACAAGGGCAGCTTCCTTCTCCAAACCCTGATGTCCATCCCAGTGTCCGTCAGGCAGCATCTCAGTCCTCGTGCAGCCCGAGCCCCCCTCACAGGTGGACTCTGAGGCCAAGCGACAAGGGCAGCTTCCTTCTCCAAACCCTGATGTCCATCCCAGTGTCCGTCAGGCAGCATCTCAGTCCTCGTGCAGCCCGAGCCCCCCTCACAGGTGGACTCTGAGGCCAAGCGAGGCTGAGAAACTCACGCCATGACCCATAGGGCCTTCGTCTGCCCAGGCAGCTGGGCCTCAGCACTTGCTCCTGAAGACACTGAGCCTGGGTGTGCTAAGGCTGCCCCCTCTTGCAGGAAATGAGCATGTGAATCAGGCAGTGCCAGCCTCATTGTATCCAGCAATTTGAAAAATACTCCAAGCACATGCTCATGTGTACCCCAAATCCTGAAAGAACAAAGAAAGGGAGAAAGGACTGAGGGACAGGCATGACCTTCCCCATTGAGGGGTGCCTTCCTCACTCTCACTCCGTCTCTCTCTGTTAAGTGCACACACCCTTTCTGGGGGAGTGAATGAATGTGTATATACACACACACACACACACACACACACACACACACGTGTGTGTGTGCGTGCCGGGCGAGTTTCAAACCACCAGGCCCAGGACTCGAGCCACGGTTGACTACATGAGAGTCCAGCAGCATAACCATTCTGCCATCTGCTGGTCCTGCATCTTGCTCCTGTGTTACTTTTTCTCCAGAAGATTCTAGAGGGTGTCACCATTTCCCACGTTCCTCTTGCTGGGCCTTTAGTCTCTCATTGGGCTCTCGTACTCACGTATGTGCTAGGAGGAGGTCCGGGGCAGGAAATGGAAACTGTTTGGTGTTGAAAAGCTACTGACCGCCTCCCCTCCTCTGGCAGTGAGGTGAAGATGCTCCCATGGGTGTGGTGAGAATGAGGGAGTAAGATCCTGAACCCACATGCCTTCCTAACCGTGACACAAGCATCTGCGACCTCGAGCAAGCCACTTGACAGCTCAGGGCCTCAGTCTCTCTGTTGTAAAAAAGAATATCCTAAGGCATGCTCACCAATGTTAATAAAAGTTAACCGAGGCCGGCCACAGTGGCACAGCAGAATGTGATGCTGTGGTACCCTGGTTCCTGTCCTGGGCCTCACTGCACACACCGGCCACATGTGTGCTTGCCTGGGGTCCTGGCTGGCTGAGACTGGGCAGGGTTGCAGCGTGAAGACCCTGTTGAAGGTTTCTTTCTCTCTTAGAAGGAATAAATGAATACATTTTAAAAATATTAAGTTTTATTTATTGCTATTACTTTTAAACTTGCTGTAGGGCACATGTGGTCCCCAGAGAGAGAGGAAAGAGGAGGGAAGAGAGAGAGAGAGTGAGAGAGAAAGCTACCAGGTCTGGGACTTGAACATGGTTGGCCATTTGGGAGTCCAGTGCCTTAACCACCTTACCATCTGCTGGCCCCAATGAATGAACTTTTAAGAAAGCAAAACAGGATAATGTATAAATAAGAGGTGATACTTTAATTTGTAGGAAGGTGTTCAATCTTGTGTGAAAGGCATTCGAGGGATGTTGCTTCATGTACCCGAGAGCTCACCTCCTTACCCCTCCACCCTCCTCCCACCACCTCCAGGCCCGTGGGGGTGATTTTAGTTACGTATTTGTTGTATTTGTGAGTGGAGGAGCCTTAAAGCGATTTGCATCAAGTCTACGCCTCAGCGGCAGGCGTGCTCGCAGGGCCACGTGTGTACCTTGAACTCCCGTGAACTCCCTGATCGCACTGGGCAGTAAGATGGCTTTACCCATGGGCAGTGTTCTCTGCTCATCCCCGTGTATCAGCGGAGACGCAGAGGCAGATGAGCTGCCTGGATGTCACCTTAGCAGCCATTCAGGAAAGCATCCCAGGAGGCCATGTGCTCTTCGCACCAGAGGAGATACCTGCAGCCCCTGTCCGCTGCGCGGGACATCACTGAGGGAGCCAGCTAGAACTGCACCTGGCTTTCGTCTCTGACACGCGCGGCAGTGTTGATGTTTCCCAGAGTATTCTTGTCTAGATAAAGGCTTTATGGTCAGTCCGGCTCTCAGAGGAAGGGGTTCCTGATACTGGTGTGAAAACTGAACCAGATTCTTGACATTTTTACAACCATCCTTCCTGGACGGCAGCCCAGCCTAGGAGAGAAGTGGTTTGGCCAGTGGCTGTCAGGGTGCTGTGATTCTGAAATGTTGGCTGGAGCGAGACCAAGGCTGCCCTGGCTCTAGTGCTCCAGGTGCCTGCGTCCGAGCTCTGTGCCCAGTAAGTGGCTGGCCCTTTCCTGCCTTCCCTGCTGCCCATTGCAGGTGACGAGCCACATGGTTCTGCTTAGATGCTGTTCCTGGTCACTGGGATGGTTCAGCCAGTCTCTAGGTGTCCAGTTTGTTTTTTTAAAAGACGTTTTGTTTTAGGACACGTGCACTCACCAGAGAAAGACAAGAGACAGTGAGCGGGAAAGTGAGAAATCACCCCCCAGGGGGGATGGCCATGCTGCAATCCCTTCTTCTCCATTCTCCTTCTGGGATCTTGGACACGCACACACATGCGCGCAATGTGAGTTTCAAACCATCGGGTCCGGGACTCGAACCGTGGTTGGCCATGTGGAACTCCAGGGACATCTGCTGGCCCCTCGGTGTTCAGTTTTTATAAAGCCTTCAGGCAGTGCTTGTTCCTGGCGTTCCTTTGGTTTTATGCTAATTAATACCAGTGAACTTGGAGACCGTTTTCCCTCCACCAGCCGCAGTTGTCCAGAGGAGGAACTAACAAAGGCTTGAGCCTGACTCGATCTTACTGGTGTTCGTGGCCAGTAGCTATTGTTTCCACATCAAGAAGCAGATGAAATTTGTAAATATCTTTGTTGCTTTTGGCTAGTTGCAAAAGTAGGCTCATTTGCAAAAATCTCCAGAAACACGTTGGCCTGTCACGTCCAGTGTGAAGCCTACTCTGCCACCCCAGCCCCCGAGGTGGTGGTGCAGAAATATGGGATATCTTCTCACGTGTGGGGGCTTGTTTCCCAGTGCGCGCACAGCCACCTGGAGTGTGGACAGGCCTGGGGGCCGTACCTGCTCCAGTTCCTCTCCTATAATACATGATGGTGTTAGTGTTCATTCTCCTGATGGCCTGGAGCTGTGCCGAGGTCACGTGCAAAGTCTTCCTGGGTCTGGTGCTTAGTTCGCGTTTGCCGAGGAGCTGAGAGTGCTCTCTGAAGCTGTCAGATTACTCAGGCAGGACTCCGGGCTGTGCCACGAGTCGTGTGGCCGTGGGCAAGCCACTTAACCTGGGCATGCCTCGCTTTTCTCCTCTGCGTAATGGGGATGAGGATGACAGTAGCTACTTCGCAGGGTGGTTGTGAGAATGAATGAGCGAACGCAGAGAGCACGTCTGTCCGTGAGGTGGAGGGGCGCGCCGTGTGGCAGGAATGGGCAGACGTGAGGGCTCCCGTCATGATCTGAGTCACCCCTTTCTCTTCACACAGGCCGTCTTCTCCTCTGTGTTCTACTTCGCCTCCGTTCCTCTCTATCAAGGATTCCTCATCATTGGGTAAGGACAGCCAAGCAAGGTACTGATGTTTATGAAACCTCCTTAAAATGCCACAGTGAGGAGGCGCTTGGGTCTCCGGGTCACCTGGACTCCCGGCCCCAGGGAAGGCGGGTCAGCAACGTGCGTTAGAACCCTCTTGAACAGATGCATTTTTGGAGCGTTACGCGCTCACAAGACTGAAGAGGTTGCCCTGAGCATGCAGCTCTCCGTACCTGGTGATGACAGAAACGCCCCGAGGCCAGAGGGCTCTGCTGATCAAAGGCGAGAGGGAAGGTTCAGAGACACGGGGGACTCATGGGGTCCCAGGTAAAGGGAGTGTCCGACTGCCCTGCCAGCCCGAGTCAAGCCCAGGAAAACGTCCTCAGTAGAGCTCAGAGCAGATCTGGCCCCTCTGGGCTCTTAGGGATGTGCATGTAACAGAGCTCACCTGTGGTGCCAAAGTGACAGAAAGGGAGTCACTCGGACGTTTGCCACCACCAAAGCCACCCCGTTCTGGAGATGGGACTTCAGTGTTTCTTTCAC